ATTGGTTGCATTGCTGTTCTTCGTAGATCTCTTTCTTCCTTCCTCGGTCCGCTTGATTCTTTCTCTATTTTCTCCGGGCAAAGACGAATGCGTTCTCTGCTAAGCTCTTTCCCGATCAATTTAATTATTGAAAAACATTAAATTAGACGCTTGAACTGCTAGCGAGAGGGGTTGTGTAACTCGTGGTTACTCCGAAATTCCGGGTAGACCGTTTTGCGAACAATTGGCGCGTATAATTGCCATCCATCGGGATTGGCTTCCGGGCGGGGCGAAGTGTCGATAAGGCTGGAATAGAGAAATTAGGAAATCGAATTTAGTTGCGTTCCGTTTGGCTCAATGGTGACTGATCATCAGGATTCGATGAGTACAATTAATTTCCGCCCATCGATACCTGACATAACACCGTGACGGATCGTAAATTCCCTTTTAACCCTTCGCAGGTCGTACTAATATCCATTGTAGTGGACGGTTATATCTGTCAGATAAGCACGTGCACGTACATCAATTAGTGGGCTCTGCTCACAATGAGATTCATGGTCATAAATAATGACAAGACAGAGTTTTGATAATGAAAATATTCAATTAATTTACTTCAATCTAATAGACGATATTTCTACACTGATGGAACGATAAAAGTTTCTTAATTCGCGATCTTTAATTATTTTATTAATGGACCGGTGAAACAGTGTTTACAACGAGCAACGCGGTCTCATCAGTTGTATGGAATCGAGTAGGGAGGGCAGAGTGGGTGGTACATTCCACAGCTTCTGGAGGGCCACTGACAATAAGCGCGGGAGGCTGCATTATACATATTCCGCTCCCTCGCTCTTATTATGCGAAACTGAACTCACACTATCGCGAGCTCACATAGGACTCGGGACGTAGGTTGGTGTATCGGACACCAACACGCCCACACACCGTGTTATTCTCCATTGGAGACCGATGTTAACCCTCTCCACATACACATTGAAACGAATACCTGCGTACAATACGTATACATTTCCGTGTACACGTTTCTAGTGTACCATACGTAAATTTAGTGTACTCTCTCTGAAATATACAAGTCTGTGCTGTATATAAACCTCGATTCGCGATTCCGTTTCAAAAGAAACTTCAATACAGGTGTATTCAAATCAATACGTGAAGAGCGATCAAAAATCGTTTTGATTCGAGTCCGTTGCTCGATGACTGATTAATATTGATTTTGACTAAGTAATGTGGCTGGAGTGTTTGAACCATTGTTTTGCTATCTGGTTCACAGCCTTCTCTATGGACCCTTGACGTCGCTATTGCTGCGTCAAACATATGTATAATGGTCCATAGTAGTCAGGCTCGGACTCAGGGTATAGTTGCACTATGCTATGCTTATAGTGATGCGCCATAGTGGCGCGCGCAGAATAGATATGAGAAACCAGCGACGGTGGCAGGGAAGCTAGGTAGCAACGAAGATGGAGCAGAAGGTGAAAAGAAAAGCGGGCATGTTGAAGAGAGCATGAGAATACGCCGGTTAGAAAGAGGAGAGAAGAAGACGGAAATTCTAAGAGAGAGAGAGAGAGAAACGGAATAGTGCAATCAAAGTGAGAGAGAGAGAGAGGCGTGGACGTGGGATAGCGAGGGGGTTGGATCGGGACAGCGGAGAGATCGAGCGAGATGCGGATATAGGAATTGGTGCGGGTGCGCTGTGAAATAGAGGAGGATGAATGTTAAAGTAGACCAGGGTCGGAGCAGAGAGGGATAGGGGCAGAAATACGTCTGATGAGAATGGGGTACTGAGCGAGGGAGGTAGGGGGAGGTATGGGGTTGAAAGAGCGTACGCGCGAGGTAACGATAGAAAGGGGGTGTGTTCGTGTAGGTCGTGTTCAAAGTTGCGCGAGCGTGTAGATGAAAGAGTGTCGAGGGTGGCGGTAAGGCGGATGGTGGCGGGGAACAGAAAATGAGAGGGAGAGAGAGGGAAAGCTTCGGACCTTTCCCAGGAAGCAGAAAGCACGACGGAGCAATATCGCAGCGTCTGCCTTGGTTGTAAAACTGCTTTGATCTCGTGTCTCGCTCGCATCCAGAATGCTTTAGTATACCTCGTCTTGGTCTCTGGCCGTTCCTGCTCGGTTCTTTCGTGGCGCTGAGTCTAGAAACCCGACGGGAACTTGTAATCAAATCGTGTTTTCGATTTTTCTCTGTTGGATAAAAATTCATATCTACCGTTCACGGTTTAAAACGATTAAAGAAATCGATTAATAGAAGAAGTTTAGCATAGAATTGTAACTCGTTACGAGTTCCACGTACAACATCTCGTCGTCGCGCGCGCGTTCGACGTTTATATTCATGACGTGCGCACTGTGACCGTCAATATTTGCGACACTGACTAAACGTCGTAATAGACGTACGTAAAAAAATGTCACGATCTAGCTAATGACGACCTTGATGTTCGGAATATAATCGAAACGCTGATAACTGACCGCGACCACGGCCATGCTGAAAAAAGGAAATCGAATACGTGGACCAATTTAGCTGCCGCTGCTCAATTATGCGCTTATGTAACGAATAGTTTGTCGCGATACGTCGGAACGAACACGTTTACCAATGTGAAATTTCAATGAAGCCTAATTGGAAGCACTGCGAATCGTATTTCGCGCTTCGCGTTTCACCTTTTGCGAGTAACGACCGTTCGCGATCGGGTGTAATTAGAGGATGGTCGAGTGACCTTTTCCACTAACTGGTATAAGGGTTGGCGCTGTATAGTTACGGATGCCGTTTTAATATTCTCTCCGTTTCCATCTTCTTTTCGCGTCTTGCTTTTCGATGCAATTTTTTCAAGGAACTCGTAAAATTATACCGCGAACATTTACTAAGCGAATAGTCGGAACAGGATCAGGAGAAACACGATAGAGTTTAACGTGAGTCGAATATGAACTCTTGCTCGGTTTCGCGTTCGCTTTTGATATGTTGTCGCTGTACGAATGTACCAGAGCCTTCGTGCCCAGAAAAAAGGGATGGAGCAAGTAAAGGGTGAAGAGAACGGGGCGGAAAGAAGGCATAGAGGGAAACCGAAGCATACAGAAATACAGAGAGTTGCGTAGCTGCACGGTGGGACGCCTTCTACTTTCGCAGCGTAGCGACAATTACGGCGGTCGTGCAGCCCCGCGCAAGCGCTGCGCTCTCTCGTTCGTTGAACCATCCGATCCGTAAGAGGGAGAGAGAGAGAGAGAGTGAGCGAGATCGAAGGAGGGGGAGAGATACGCGCGACGAAGAGGAGCGAAATATGAATGCGAGAAACAAAGAAAGGAAAAAGGCAGGTCAGGAGAGGAGAGGAGAGACCGCGAAAGAGAGAGTTGGAAGCTCGCAGAGTAGGAGTAGACAATACCGCGCCAATTTCATGAGCAATGCCATCCATAGACTGTCCATTTTTAAAATGCATTAAGCTAACCCAGGAATCGGAGCAAATATTGCGTCGCGCGGATGAATTTTCAAACATCCGTGCTTGATCAATTGAATCTCGTTCACCCCTTCGTCAGGTCGGCCTCGAATGCTTACAGATTTTGTTTTCGAGTTTGTCCCGAAAAATGCACGGAAGCCGCGGATCTAGCCGCAGAAATCGAACGAAAGGATAAGAACATTACGTTCGGTTGATGTTGATAGTCGGTGGTCGGTGGTGTATGTACGTATGTATGTACATACGCTGGCTTATGTAACGACAGAACCTGTTTGGTAGACATACATACGAGTACGTCCTCACTGTCAGTGGTTTTCATCGGTAGTAAGTTTTTGTAAATTGAAAACCACCCCTTAACTTTCCGACGTTCGAATGTTTCGGGACGCGAAACAGCAAATACAGTTTGTTGAATACGTGTATTTCGCAAATTGATCAATCGTTGGAATTTATGAGGGACGATCATCTATGCAGAAAAACCTCCGTTTACAAGTACCCTACGTGAGAACAGGCGGCTCAAGGAAGTCATAAAGGTTTTGAATCATTCGTATTGAATAGTCGTATAGCGGTGCGAATGGACTAGAATCGTATCAAGTTTTCCTCGGATGACATTCGATAATCGTCGACTGTCCGCGAGTAAGTGCTACGAGGTTAATTTAAATAACTGGACGATCCAAGACAGTCTAGCTATTGAAACAACGCGACCGCCGTATGTCGCGTCGCGCCGTTTCTTTTCCGACCGTCTCAATGATTTCGTAACCGATATGTATCTGCCTCGGATTCTCCGAAAAATACGGATAACCACTATTCGAAAGTTGCCTACTTTATATCTACAGAGTTTTACATTTGCACCTTATTGTACTGCGCGTAACATCGCTTTGATTACGCGAATTACTCAGGCGCAAATATACAAATTATGTGTGCATGTATTTGCGACCAATACAGCGAGTTATTAATACCGATTGGTAATTCCGCGCGCGTGGGCGTAACCTGCGTAAGTGGAATGAATGCGGAGAAAATAGAATTACGTACTCTAGAGAGGCCAATAAAGGAATTTCACCGACGCGCTGCGATGCAATGAACAAGCTTGAAAAATCTCGTCAACTTCTGTTTATCGTGACCTGTCCTCGTGTGAATGTGTTTTTTATCCGCTCCACTTATCAGAACATTGATACGCCTAGATCTACGATACGAGCATGGTCCGCAGCGAACAGAGTTTCGGAAAAAGGCCGAAAATAGAGGCGAAGATTGATCGCGCGACGAGCAACGCGGAGTTGAATTCCGTTCGATCGGGCCGATGAGAACCACGGCGCGGCGCGGCAGCGTTTCGTACACTATATTACACATTCACGAAACACGTACATATACTCCTACGTACGTATAAAGTGTACGTACGCGTGTACCCATCGCTATACCGCCGTATGGACTATATGTATAGATAGGCTATACTGGCTATAGGCTATAGAGAGACAGAGAGAACGGCCGGGGCGAGCCGAAGACGACCGAGAAGCGGCGTCGAACGGAATCGCCATCGACGCGACGCGGCGTCGCGGCGTCGGGAACCAGCTCTGTTTCATTCTGCTCCGAGCTGTCGAACGCGGCGGACGCGTCTCCGCTTTGCTTCTCGCTTCTCTACGAGTACCATTCTTCATACTTGGAAGCATATTTACCCTCGCTTTCTCATCGTCGTCGTCGTCCAACGACAGAGGATTCCGGTCTCTTCTGGAGATATTCAGTCCGTTCGTGAACGTCCAACCTAGTTATCGCTTCAGTTCGGCTCGAATCGAACCCACTCTCCTCGTTTGGTTCGCGCGCTTGCTTTGGATCTATCATATCGTTGAGAGAGAACCGCATCTCTGTTACGCTCTTCTAGCATCCGCTCATCGACTCGTGTGTTCTCTCCGAAATCTTGACGAGATGTCTCTCGGTTGTTAAGCCTGTTTACACTTGCTTCTAATCTTCGTTCACGAGTTGAACGATTTTTCTAATAACCATTTTTTAAAACGAATCATCATTCTCAAGAGTCTGCCTCTGTCGAATCATTGTTGGATCCTGTTTATCCGGACGTTTTCGGAGGATTCTTGAAGGATCGTGCATTATCTGAAATCGTTTTTCCGACGCGCGACGACAACAAAAGGGACTTGAATTTATTTCGCGTGGTCCTGAGAACGAGCGGCTAATCCGAACGATCGTCGTTGAATGCTGTGTGACTCGAAGCCCGTACGATCGTCCTCGATGGAGGATGCCGATCGGTCGGCTTTCAGGAACAAATGTATCCGCGAACGGAATGAAGGCAGTTGGAGTTGCGAAACGACTTAGAAACTTCGTTGAGATAAGAGATAGTCGATTTAGAAGTCGAGTCTCCTGTTCGGAGGTCCGTGCTTTGCGGAAGGACAGAGTGTCGCGGAGGAAGGTGGTAGAAGATCGTGCGGTTCGAAGGTAAAGAGACAGAAAGAAGAACGTAAAATAAAACGATAGGGGGAAAAGTACATAGAAGGAAATATATTTCGGACAGCGAGAGACCCTCTTTCTTTGCATTTGGTTTTATGGTCGTCGCGTTCTCTGGGGTATGTACGGGGTACAAGGTGCGCATGGTAACCGAAGGCAGACAGAAACCTCCCTTCCCACTTCCCTCCGCTCCACCCCTCCCTTCCTGCCGGCTTTGAATCAATAATCTCCGGCCAGGATTATATGCAGAGGCCCTTTTATATTTGTCGACGCGATGAGGAAGATATCGGCGAATTAAAGGCACCAGATCGTTTGCCGACCGCGTCGCGGATTCCTAAACATTTCCATCCCCGTGGACGAAAAACCATGTTGAACGTTTCGGATGCGTTTGATTTATTCCCTTCTCGTCGTTGCGTCTTCCTCCGTCCATCGGTGCGCGGTGTCGTCGCGCGGATTATTGATCCCTTCATCTTTTTCTTCGTCCCTTTGCTTCTGCTTATGATATTTTGAGGGAAAGGGGGCAACGAAGCGTGGAAGAATAAGATTGACGCACATTAGAAAGGAAAATCGCTTCGACGGAATGTCATAACGATGGACCTCGTGCTCACATTTATTTTGCTCTGTAAGAGAAGAGATAACATATGTTTCTCGGATCGCGAGCGCCGTATGAATAATTACAGCCAATTCGTTGGTTTCTTATGATCTACCGCATAATCAGTTTCTGTGTTTCTTGTTTATCGCAGATCGAACACTCCAGATGGAATCGCCTTCGGCCCGGGACGGTTGCGTTGAGGCCAAGGAAGATTCCACCTCGCCAAAATCACCGGAAACAGCGGTGATCGCACCGTCGACGGCACCGTTGGCGGCACCGTTGGGGACACCGTCGACATCGAAATCATCAATGATCAAATCTTCAGAGCTTGATGGGGATACCTCGGCCGCTTCGGAAGAAGAAGTACACGATGATAACCAGTTCGTCAACAGTCAAACGTTCGTCAGTGTAGAATTGTGCGAAGTTTCGGTCTCTTCCCCCGAGGCCTCGGTCGACCCATTAGCCGTCGAGGATCAGGTGGACTTTCCGGATATGGGGCTCAAACTGGGGAAAGTCCAGGACCAGAACCAAGAGGAGAAGTCGAATTCGACCGCGAATGTGCAAACGACGACCGAATTAATAGAAACAAAATCGAACGAGGACGAAGCGGAGGATTCATCAAACGTGACATCGGTACAGTGTGAAGTTGAAAGACAGACAGAAGATGATAACAAAGTGATCGTGGGTGATGAGTTCGTCACCTCTTCGCCGATATGCTGCAGGAAGAGACCGGCCAGTGATTTCTTGCCGATCGGCGCCGAGATCAAGAGAATAGGCGTCGAAATACCGGAGGACGAGACGAATCATGTTAGGAGCGACGTGAGGAGGATTTCACCGGTGCTGGTGAGTCTTCGAGAGCGTACCCTGGGCGAGATTTCTCTGTCCTCGGATTCGTGTCTCTTCGATACCGCGAAAGACGAGGTGAACAGCCGATGCGTCTCGACGAACGATAGGCGGTTCGACGATTCATTAGGGAGCAATTGTAGATTGACGATGGATGTGAATCTCGATGATCAAACGAATCACGAACGGGCCGATTGTCCCGAGTTGGAATACAAAACAGTAAACTGTTCTACTGCTCTGGCAAAGACGCCGGAGAGTGAAGTCAATGCACAGCACGTCGACGCCGGTGTCGAGAAGGAGCTAACGTTGGTCGCGACCAAACTCGATTACTCCGATTCGTTTATTGACGACGATTCCTGTTGCTCTTTGCCGTGCGAAAGTCCCGAGAGGAATCTCAGCAAGTGTTTAGAGCCGAAACAGTGTGAGAAACCGGTAGAACCGAGTAACGATGACGCTTCTGCATCTGTTCTCAACGAATCCGATGAACGGCCGAGTGAGTTGGACAAAAGTTCTCTTCCTCGGTTGACGATCAAATTGGAACGGATCGATGCGTCGTATTGTTCGGGGTGTGAAGACAAAAATCACTCGACCGCCGATCTCAAAATTAAACAGCAATGGAAGAAAAACGCCGAAGCTGATCCTGGTTCTGAAGACGTAAAGACTGACCTAAACAATTCATCGGAGGAAACGTGTCTTATCCAGAGGTGCACTAATAAAAAGAAAGATCAAATAAAGACTGCTTCCGAGGACCATATGGAGGAAACGTCTGTGTTATCCAAAAAGGAAACGAACCACTTGCAGTCACCTTCTTTACCTAATAAAAATATGAAGGAATGCAAAGTTTTATTACATAGGATAACATTGCCGAACATTTCCACACCGATACCTACATCAATATCAACGCCAACATCAATATCAACATTAACACCAGTATCGACATCAATATCGATGCCGACAACGCCTACGGTGCAAAAATTGCTGGAGAAAGAGGAAATAGCGCCGAGAGCAATCGAGAAATTAGCGGAAGATGAGGAAGTAGTTTTTCCTTCGCCTTTACGTACCACGGAGAATTTACCGCCATTGAACAACATCGATTCCTCGTCAACCATCGAGATGACGACACCCAGTTCGCCAGAGGTTCTGGAACCTAGAGCGGTTAATACCGAAACCATCGATACTGAAACCGAAACCGAGACCGAAACTGGTTCTGATAGCTCCGAAATTTCGTCCATGACGAATGTTGACGTGCGACTTGTTGGATGCGAAGATGACGCCGTTCCAGACCAGATATGTCAAGAAACCGAGTCCATATGCTGCGTCGATATGAATCCTGAAATTATATCCAGGTTGGAGTCGGAGCGACCTGAACCGTTTACAGAAGACTCGGCGGAAAGCTTGGCGCTTGCTACAGGTGCTAGGGACGAAGTTAGGTCAGATGGAAGCGATTCAGGTCTGGGAAGCGAGATACCTGGTGATACTGGACCTGCACCGGTTCCAGAAAGTGATTCCGAGACTTCTTTCTTGGATAGGATACCCGATGATATACTTTCCGATAAAGAAAAAGGTATTTGCATTTAATTTATTTTAACTATTTTTTTTATCTTTCGAGATATTTGTCCTCGCGATTCTGGTATCTATTATACAGTATATTAGGCTATAATCTATAATTTGAAAACGCGAGTATAACTAGCGAGACTTGAAAGCATGACGATCCCTTTCAGCGGTAAATCAAATAGACACTTTTGTGCCGAACGTGGGTGTACCCGGTACGCCGCAAGCGCCATTGACGAACTTCCCGAGTCCTTCGAAGAGCAACCTGAAACGGAGATTGACAGATTGCATGGAAGACGCGCCCAGTCCGAAGAGAAGCAACACAGATGACTCAATGAAAAAGAAGCGCAATATTCATTTCGATGCTGTTACCGTCTACTACTTTCCTAGAGCACAGGGTTTCACATGTGTACCTTCTCAGGTATGTGTATATTCGCAATATTTTTCGTAAAATTATATGCGAAAATAAATTTTCGAAATTATCAAGTCTATTATTGATAAGAGAATGTTCACAGAGTTCTGTGTAACAAAGTCAATTCCAATATTTAGACTTGCGTTGATGCAGGCATAGTAATTACGGGATATGTAATATACTACGTATACTGACGTATTGTCTGGGTTCTCATTGTCAGGGCGGTAGTACACTAGGCATGAGCGCAACGCATACTCATGCCGAACGGTTCTCGTTATCGGAACACGCTGCCGAACAGAGGCGAATTCATCGTGCTAGACTAGCTCAATTGCGCTCCGAGCGTGCTGCTAATTGCGTAGCGGAAGCGGCCTCGAGCTCCGAGGATCCAAGTGACGATACTGATGAAGAGCAGAGCGATAACGAGGAACTGGACATCGATAGTTATTACTTCCTGCAGCCAGTGCCTACGTGGCAGAGAAGGGCCTTGCTCAGAGCTGCCGGTGTTCGTAGAATAGACGCGATCGAGAAAGACGATTGCCGTGACATCAGAGCTAGCAGAGAACACTGCGGTTGCGGGTGTAAAGGATACTGCGACCCGGAGAGTTGCCCTTGCAGCCGAGCCAATGTAAAGTGTCAGGTTAGTACACATCCAGTCGGATTAACACATCTTGAAATTAGCTAAATATTTATTCGCTGTGTATATGTTAATAGGTTGATCGAGCGGGTTTTCCTTGTGGGTGTACTCGGGACGGCTGCGCCAATACTTCAGGGAGGATCGAGTTCAATCCAGTACGGGTGCGAACGCATTTCATTCATACTCTGATGCGGTTGGAGTTGGAGAAAAAACAGCGACACGAAGAAGAAGGCCAGGATCATGACGCTTCCGACAATCAAAATGGTAGAAGTCCGTTGAGAGAGATCAATTTGGGTTCCGTGATGGAGAATAGGGCGGGTACGGAGTCGTGTTTAAACGGCGGTGGTTTCACGACGTTACACTACGAGAATCATGACCACGCCAGGGACGGCGCTACGAATTGTCAATCGGAAGTCGCCGGTACGCGAGAGGATAGTCTGGATCTTTATGCGATCAGGGACGATTGTTATCCTAGCGAAGACACAGTCGACGGTACGCAGGGGCCTCAAAGGAAACTTCATCCAGAATTTAGTCAAGCTTTTCAAACGTTCACGGGCCAAACAGGCGCCGGAGTAAACTTTCAGCAGCCTACTTATCAGGATTATCAGCCTTACGCTAACCTTCCTTCCACATCTAGGGTGCAATTTCAGCCGCAATTCCAAACGGTGCCAGGAAATTCAGGGTTCTCACACTACGCGCCTTACGGACAAGACATCGGATCGATACAGGGGAATTGCCAAGTCCACGCCGGACAACACGCGTCCAGTTACGAGGCTGCTAGCTTCGCACAGGACGAAGCAACTGGATCACAATACACGAATTTGAATTCGGTGCAACCGATGAACACTGTGGTCCAACAGATGGGTAAACTGGAACCGTTCTCGGAACTTTTATCCGGCAGATATTCCTATTACGGCGAAATGGAGCCACAATCGCATGGTACTTATCACTCGACTGGAACCAAGGTCGACATGGACAAGAGTCAAGGTAACATAACGGAACAACAATCGGAGAGTACGGAAGAGTGCGACGAAAACTTCGGGGAGATTATTAAGAAATCCATGGTTGAGACTGTATCCGCTTAAGTGGAAACTAGTAGATACGAACAGTTATCTATGTGCGAGTCCGTCAAAACAAGGGTTTTTATACCCGTAGTGATTTATAATGAAAGGTCGAGCGAGATTCGACTCGTCGAGGAAAAATCAGAAAAAACAAAAAAAGGATAAGAATGGGGATGTATGTATTCTGACTAGAAGGTGTTGGAACTTTTACCGGTTATCCTTCTATGTGCTAGATAAATTCGAGTAAATTGTTCATTTGTTTTTCGAACGGAGCATTGATTCATGTTGAGAATCACTTTTGGTTAACTACGACAAGTCCCGTGGATGTCGTTAGAAAAATTACGCGGCTGCGTGTGCGTCCGCCCGGGATGGAAACTTGAGACATTGTCCTTGTTCCTTTATAATAAAATATCGTCGATTGTATAATCGATCGGGTGGATAAGACGATGTTCTCAATGTAAAACGCGAAAAAAATCCGGGGCCGCCACGTCGGTGAAGGATTTTCGGGGGAAGGTCTTCGTCAAAAAATCTCTATCAACAGTCTCTTTAAAACGGTAAATCTTTCCGTGATGAGGGATACAGATGTAATTCAACGAGGTTGTGACCAAGAAACAACATATGGGATCAGCTTAGATTGCAATTTAATAGGTATGATAACTTAAATATTTTAATCGTAGGTCACGCGTTTTTTTTTTTTTAAAGATTGAAAGGAATTTTTCGAATTCGTGCGACAACGTGGATGACATAAAACTTTGTATTTATCGCAACAGCGAAAAAATGTTCGCTTTGCCGATCAAAGGGAGAAACTGGCACACGAATGTACACACGGGCACGAAACACGTTTATATGCAATTACAAAACGTGAATGATTGTGATACTTGTGCACAAATAAAAGTGCAGTTTGTCAGAATCGTAGATTTAAGGAAATAAAGTATGGGACTTTTTCTATGCCAGCTAGTAAGAGATCGAGTTTGTATGATTTTTCAATCAAAGAATGATGGTAAATGATGATAGGGAATAGAATCTTTTCTCGCGTGTTGTAAGAACACGAAACGCATGCATCGCGATTAAACACAATTCCAATGTTAGGGAAATCATGGTTGGTTGGCATATCAAGCGCACGCTGTCTATAGAAAAGGTAATGTTAAACGGCCGTGTAATTTTTTTATCTCTTATTACAGGTCACCTTGAAATTGCGGACTTTTTTTTAAATACCACACGCGCACATTGTATAAACGGATAGCAAAACGCAGACTCTTGGATTGAAAGACCGAGACCTTGTATCTAATTGTAAATTGATCGACGGCTCGCTTTCTTTCTAATTGTACATACGTTAGCAATTTCAAGGTAAGCGTTTAACGAGAACGAAATAAAAACTGAACCCGCGCGGAGATTTTTCATTTACATAAAAGAAACTGTAAGTTTAAATCAAGTCTGACGACGAACAATATTTCGTTCAGACCTTTTGCACATCCATTGTTATTCACCTAGTAGATTTTCAGACACAGACCTCTTTAGCATCCCGGGACGTTGATCGCCAATATTTACGATTAATCGAAGTAATAAGCATTAAGGAAACAATGATAATGACGATAGTATTAAATTTATACATAATTATTGGACGTGTCAGCTCCCAAGCACTTTCGATGCTGATCTTCTATTTTCGAGTTTTACACTGTGTTCATCGTCACTGATTGGTGCCTAAAATCGTTACGTTTGTCAGTGTACAATGATAACGAAAAATCGCATGTTTGAAAATAGAAGAGGCAAGGTGCAACGTTGGTATTTGATACATACGTTGCGAGGGATGTGACACTTTCGTTTGACATAATTATATAAACTACACGTATGTAAGTAACTTTTAGAGTATTTGAGTAAAAAAAGCATACATAGTTGATAGCGTTTTATTAAATGTTGTGAAAAAGTCTCTCGTCTGTCGTGTAATGTGTTGTCTTATTCGTGCGGGTATTTCTTTATTTTCAATTTCATCAGTTCGTCCCTTTATATTTACGATACCATCCATAACTTACCTGATCCTGTATTGATTTAAGCCTTACATTATTAGCGTCTATTTTGTCTAGCTAACAAATATAATTCGAAGAACTCGCCGCCATCGTTCGAATTTTCTCGCTCGCGTGCGCAGATCGTAAGTACACTAACATGGAGTCCATAGCGGGAACCCTCTGCGTTTCTCGCTCCCGTTCATTCGTGATATTTCGCAAATTGCGAAGTGTACTTTATGATCGCAACGTGTACGAAAGACCGATGCTCGAGCCAGATGAAGCGATAATACAGGCAACGGTTTAGTATTAGTTAATATACCTCGATAGTAAGACCGTAAACATCTAAATCGTTTCTAACTGCTGTTCGTACGTCGCTCGTAGTGGGGGTACGGATACGATGGTAGGGAAAGCATTGGCGAGTTGTGTCGAGTCAAGCCGAGTTAAGTGCCGCTGCTCCTGGAAGTTGGCGCCTGTCCGTGATCGTGTACGGAGGTTAGTTTACACTTTGGTGCGGGCGAAGTTTTTTTTATTATTCAATCGCAGCCCGCTTTCCGTTCGGTGAAAGAAGAAGAAAGACGAACCGTACCTAGTCTATCCCGTATGGTATGTGAGTGTGGAACATGCGTGATTCAAAAGTTTCCCCGTCGGTCTCGTGAGAACGGAAAATACGTTAATACGACGGCGTGCTAGTGTCGTTGACGTTTTGTGTGTCAGTGTCCTCTCTCTCTCTCACCGTTTTCCCTCTCTTTTCAGCGTTTCACCTTTCTCGGTCCGATCCTTTTCCAATCATCGCGTCGTCTCTTCCTATTCCTGCACTTACGTGTAGTAAGGTATAATACTCATTCCGACGTTCTGATCATTGTAACTCTGAGCCGTTCCGTTCGCTGCAATGCCAGATGACAGGTGCGAAGCGCTGCCACTGGTGTTCGCTAACGAGTCCTTCGTGTGTCCTGTGGATTTAGGATACGCCACAGAATGACGAGCACGAGGTTGTTCTACCGGAAGGGCGGCGAAGAGGACCGAGGACGACGACCACGACGACGATCTCGAATTCCCTCGCGCTAGCGTTGGGCTATGAGCGCTGACAATGGGGACGACTCCTTGGTAATTATCATACCTTTCTCTTTTTCATTTCCCTCTCTCTCTTTATCTGTTTTCTTTCTCTCTTGTATATCTCTCCGTTATGTATCCATACACATATTACTCTCCTTATTAGTTTCAATCCTCGCTATCATTGTCCTATATAAATAACTATAATATTTCAATTCCGTATACTTCGAAGTGTGTAAAGTTTAAAAACAGGTAAGTGGATATAATAACAAAACTGTACAGAGGTTTACAGAGCATGGTTCTACCATGCAGACGTAATCCTAGATTTGAAAGCTCTTTCGTTCTCTCTTGTATCTACTGTAATACAGTTTTTCTTCTCGTCTCCGCTCATTGTGCGGCTGTCACGAAAGAAACATTCAAAGAGAACACAGTTATTTGCCGAGTATTTTGCTTTCGCGATTACGGTAGAACGATTCGATTGCGTGCCGAAAATATTACGGAGCAAAGGAGAGAATGCGGCTTATCGTAATTGTTTACGTAATAAAAGGAGCAGGAAGTATGGAATGTTTTCAATGGAGTCATGATTGTACGAAACGCGAACGTCGTCGATGTGAATCAATTTCGATTCACCTTGTATATAATGCTTTTCGACCTTTTGACAATTGCTAACAGCGCTGACTAATCGACCCGCGTTAAGCATTCTAGACACGAACCTTGTTTAAATTCGATGCTGTCGGTCAGCCACTAAATTCACCGTCTAATTGTCGTGAAGAATATTTCTCATCACCTGATTCTAGAATACATACCTGAGTGTAGTATTCTCACGTCACGAGGTGCGACTTTTAAATCGATCCAACAGGGGAGGTGTCACACGATTACAAATCGGCACTTCTCTAATTGCTAATTGCTAATTGCTAGTAATTTAAAGCACACACCCTCACGTGTGCACAGAGCACGTGGGCACGGTGAACACAGACTCATCTGTACCGAGTAAAAGTAATTTCCTGCGGATAGTGATATTTCTTGCTCGGTAGTTCGAGTTGTGAAACTCGCGTTACGTTTCGCAAGGTAACTACGGGGCAAAATGGAACGAGACTGGAATACAATTTTTATTTCAGATCTAGCATAATTTCTACTTTATGCGTAAAGCTAGTAAAATACATTTCAGTCCAATTGTTTTTCTTCCTTATTGTAATTTTATTCAAGAACGTTATCGAGTGTCAAGTGTGCCTCGGTTTTCGTTCACCGTTTCTATTCTCACGCGAAGGTGCCTGTAAGTAATACAACAGACAACTCGTAGTCGAATGGAACACGCTCAATAACTTTAGAGTCAATGAAACTCGCGCACGCTTCGTGTACGCGAGGGTATGCTTACTATCGGTTCTACGTTTATATGTATTACAAATTAATCGTTGATTCTTTTCACACGTTTCGCATTTTCGTTATTTCATATCTTACAGGTATAATATATTCTATAAAATATTCTATATAACTGAATATGCTATCCGTCTTTGATATTACGTCTTTTGATAATTTATAAGAAAATAAGTATTTAGATATATGTAGGATTGTCTCATAAATATTTCTATTGATCGTCCCAAAATGCTACTTAATTTTCTACGCGAACGTTCTGTCCCGGCGTTTATGAGAAAGGCAGGCAGGGCGGGATACCGGTGCGCTTATGAGAATGCAAAGTAATACGTGTCAAGTCTAACGAGGCGCGTCGCGGAATGCAGGAGGCGAGAAAGAAGTGCATCGTGAACGCGAACGCGAATGCAGGAACGTAGTGTAGAGTATGAAGAATGGGAAACTCTTCCGTATATGTCGATTTCACTTGTCGTAATGCTTGTGACTTTTGGAATACCCAGTACGTACGTAGTACTTTGGTTTCCGTCTTGGTTTACTCTTTCATCGAAAAGGAAAGGGTCCACGTCCATAGCTCGGATAAACTGTGACGACTTCGTGACGATATGTACGTAAATCCATGTAGGTATTCGCGATAAACAATTACGTAAATACGTGAAACAGAAAAGTTCGTTGTTGGTCCGAGTCACTCCTTCAGTAAATATGTATCTTCTGATGCTAGCGGGAGAACAAGCAAGGACTTTGTACAAGAAATTCGCGCGATAATCGAATCGGGCCGTAGTCGTTACATTCATTGGTTAACACAAGCCGATACGTGTCAATGCCACGGGTACTGTTATGTACTTATGGTTACTTGACCCAAGGTGAAGAGAAAATCTAGCTTCCGCACCTACGAAATTAGCCAGGAACATTAATAAGCTGTCCTGTAGGGAGTTTAGTAGAATCCTGTGAATCTTGTGGTGTAATTAATCACAGGATTCACGCGTGCGAGAATCCGTATCGATTCGGTTCAGTACGTGCGTCAGGTTTTTTTTTTCTACGAAATATTCCACACAACGGATGGACTGCGATATCGATTTCAAGTCGGGGGAGGGCAAAATGCCGGTTGTGCGGTTTGCCTACCCGTAGCACAGTTTGTGGTCCACGTTACTTTCACCACCGAGGAGAGATTATTAACGAGTGGCAACCTTATGGGATTTTGTGTCGCATGAAAAAGTCGGCAATTTTTGACGCCTTTTAGAATGTATTGTCACCGAAGTAAGAAATGGAAAATAAAACACTCGTCGGTGCTGAACAGTTGCCAGATATTTATGCAATTTCCTTCTAACTCCATTCGTTAAGGAATAATTGGCGATGAACGAATTAATTAAGGATGTACTGGCTATACAGTGAATCCCAAAGGTTTATATACCTTAGATAAACGCGTTTCCTATAATTAAACAGAAATCAGACGTCGGAAGAATAATGCTAATAATAAATAGTTACGTGCTAAAAAGTATGGAAGGAAATATCCAATTAAGTATTAACGTTGACGAAAATTTCGAAAAACGCTTCAAATAAAAGTTCTTTTTCTTCTAACTTCGATATTTAACGAGTTAACTATGATTAATCGGCATTTTATGGGTACTGATAAAATCCGACCATTCCACCGACGAATCAGCGAACTTTTGACAAAAAATTTTGTTTTTCCTCAATAACTCCTAAACTGTTAGACTTACGAGAAAATTGCATACAACCTTTTTTAT